TATTCTTGAAAATTCGGTAAAATTATTTACTTTTAAATAATGAGTGGCGTTTTTTTGAAGTCCAATATGGCGGACAAAGCTTCGTCGTTCGAATGATTGAATTCTCTCGAAACTTGTTATTTGGGCGCTTTTGTAGTCGTTTATTACACAGGTAAAGCAAGAATACTTTTGAAAATTTGAAATTTGAAAAAAAATAATCTAGGAAAATTTATAAATTTTTTTCGTAGCTTATTACTTATTTCCTATCAAATTGAAAGGGAAAACCATCGCAGGCCTCTGTTATGAATCTGACTATGAATTTTTAAAATTCACAATGTCAAATCGAAAAACAACCTAGTAACAAATTTCAAGTGAATCAAAACTTTGTCCGCGATATTGGATACCAAAAAAGCCACTAATAATTTTTATCGAATAACCAAGTCTATGATCGATTCATTTTACTTGAACCAATTTTGGAGAGAGGCGGCTGGGGTCAACTTGTGAAATAAGGTTTAATTAACTACACAAAGAAGTAAGTAACATGATTTTTTCAAACATCGTCATTGTCGGGGCTTCGATACTAGCGATTTTAAAATTTTGAACACAAAAAATATTTTATAAAGCATGTTCACATTATCGTAATTTACGTAATGTTGAAATCAAGTAATTTTGCCATGTAAAATTTGTCAATAAATGCGAAATTTGCGAAAATTCAACCAATTTCAAAAATTTGCTACCGAAATTTTAAATATTTTAATCAGAGTTTTTAGAAAAGTTTTGCGCGTGCATTTTTATAGCCAATTTAATTTCAGTAAGGTGCAAGTTGGAGGTGGGCGAAACGCCTCCAACAAAAAAAATTCTCAAAACTCAGCGCGAATTTTGAGGAACTTCAAACGTTAAATTTTTGTACTGAAATTGAATGAGCTTTAAATAAAACTTTATAACCAAAAATTTTCTGTCAGCCTGGCAGGGTTGAAAAACTTAAGGCTTGAGCACATACAGCTTTCGTGCTGCTTTGACGTTGGTTTTGCTTTGACAGCTAAGATAAATAAATACGTTTATATGAAGCTGTTCACATAGGCAATGCTGATGCCAAAGAAACACGAAGGCTGGTTTACACTAATGAACACACAAAATCATGCAAAGAAAAAACCAATAAGGACCGTGACGACCAAATGCTTCTATTTTAAAAATATTTGAATGCTTTCAATTGTAAAATTCAAATTCAAAAACTAAAAACATTTGCTGTCAGAGCAAACACTTGAGCTATTTGCGTTGCTGTCATATGAAACAACGTTAAAGCGACGCGAATGCCGTATGTGACAGAGCCTACATTTCTGAAGTAGCGTTACTAGCTTGAAGTGTGGCCAGAAGCAGACAAGTTTGTGAATCAATGGAAAAGAATATTCGTCGCAGTTACCAAGAACTTCACGTTGCACAGAGGAGTATTTGTATAATAAAACCGGTCAAAATTTAGATTTACTAACTTTGATAAAATTCTCTTTAAACATATTATTTCTCAAGCTATATAACCGATCTATCAGTTGGCAGTATTTTTGACTACGTGATATCGTCACCTGAGTGGAAGATCGACCTATCTCGGCAGCCAGTTCGAAGACGCCCTATCTCAGAAAACTTTTCAAGAACGCCCTACTTCAGAATTTGGCTGAAGAACGCCCTATCCTAGAATTCGGTTGAAAAATGCCCTATCTAAGTGAAAAATACATTGAAAATGTGCTGAGATTGGGCGTTTTTGAGCCGAATTCTGAGATAGGACGTTTTTCAACCAAATTCTATGTCTAAAGTTCCACATTCGCAACATCCCTAGTACATACATACAATCAAGTTAAATAAAAGCTTGTAATAATTATTGCCGTTGCTGTAAAAAATTGCCTTTAAAAATTCGATTAATCGTTTATTTCTCAATAATTGCAATTATTTTTTGGCTTGTGGTTAATCATATGACTAATTCATTGAATATTTTCTTTTTTTTTGCTATTCCTAACGATGAGCTGTATCAGCTTTACAAAATACAGCGCGTCCGCTGGCTTCGTCGTGCCGTTCGAATGGACACCGATGCTGGTAACAGAGAAAGAGGAAGGCCTCCTCTGCGTTGGAAAGACCAGGTGGAGAAGGAGTTGTCTGCACTTGGCATTTCCAATTGGCGTCAGTTGGCACAGAAAAGAAATGACTGGCGTGCTGTTTTGGACTTGGCCAAAATCGCTTAGGCGGTTACAGCGCCAATAAAGAAGAAGAAGATGTACTGTGCGTTTGCTAGGGCATTCAATCCCAAAGCATTTTAACAACCCCGGGATTTCTGGATGCGAAAAAGTTTTATCTCGGGATTTCGGGCTTTTTTCGGGATTTCAACTTGATCACATATTACAGTAGGCTCACCGTTCTCAGCAATCTGAAAATTAAACCACACAGCTTCATTGTGGATTACTTACGCTTTTCACTCGATGATAACATGTTTTATGTTATGCTAAATTACTAAATAATTCAATAAAATTATTTTTAACGCATCCATCCATTATGTTTACATTTTTTATCTCAGCAAATTCAAACCGAAATTCGCCGTAGCTGGCAGTAACACACACTTATCTACCAACGAAGGCATGCACATTTGTTGCTTTGCTTCCGGCATTCGAAATTGACAATGTAAACAAAATGAAGAAAAATTTGACGCCAACCCAAAGGCAACATAAATTGCCGACTACCGAAAGAAAGGCATTTGCGCTCACTCTCCACATACATTCGAGAGAATGAAGGCAGGTTTTGCGCCGAAAGCGAATATCAAAACAAAAGCAAAAAGCAATGAATATGCTCCGCTAAGCACATGTCAAAAAAAAAAAAGAGAGAGAGAGAGAGAGAGAGAGAGAGAAAGAACGAACAGTGGAAAATAGGCACAGAAAAAACCGAATGTAATGAAGGCGCTTGCCGGTTGGAGAACAAAAAGCTTCGAGAAACAGCTGATTGCGATGTAAACAAACGAAAAGTTACTCATACGCCGTGTACTTACCCACTAAAATGGTTTTTGTGAAAGTGTGTGCGTGAATTTGAGAACTGCCTACTTGAAAATTAAGCTTTTTTTTATTTAAATATTTTGAGAAAAGAAGGCTTAGATGTGCTTGTACATGTGCATTAGTTTGCCTTCCGGCAATTGTGCTCTTCGCTTTTAAATATCTCTCTTCCAGCTGCTTTGCTCTCGCATCTCTGGTGCTTACTTGTCAGTGTTCGCTACTTAGTCGCTCACATGAATTTATTTACGCCACGTGCGCTGTTTCTACGAATCAATTTGACTGTCATGGCGGTCAGCTGCCATGACTTTCAGCTGTTCGATACCTGCAAAGCAGCTAGCGCTTTTAGCGCGCCTAAAAGTTGGCATTGATTTCACACCGTCGTGCACACGCGTACAACAACACACTGATATCTGACCGCTACAAATGTAGTGTGACAGCGTGAAAGGCGCGACTTTCGACAAGCCAAACACACACCAACGAAGGACTCACGTCCAGGGTTACCACTGACGAAAAAAAAATTCTTGCCATCCACTTGAAAAAAATCTACCAAATGTAAAAAATATCTACCATTAAAAATGTTTTTTAAATAAGTTTGTATTTAAATAAGGATATCGTATTTTAGATCATATAAATTGCATCTTCTCGATTT